AGCAGCAGGAGAGGAGGGTGGCAGGAGAGAGCGAGAGAGCGAGAGAGAGTGTGTGTGTGAGTGTGTGTCAAAGGCAAGCGCCACGCCCAGGCAGGCCTCGGGGCTCCGTGGTGAGTTTTGTCAGCCGCACCGAGGCGAATGGGATAACGCCGTTCTCCTGGCAGGATGGGTGCCAAAGGGCCGGGCAGGTTTCCCTTGGAAATCCAGCGAGAGGAGGGTGGCAGGAGAGAGCGAGAGAGCGAGAGAGAGTGTGTGTGTGAGTGTGTGTCAAAGGCAAGCGCCACGCCCAGGCAGGCCTCGGGGCTCCGTGGTGAGTTTTGTCAGCCGCACCGAGGCGAATGGGATAACGCCGTTCTCCTGGCAGGATGGGTGCCAAAGGGCCGGGCAGGTTTCCCTTGGAAATCCAGCCCGGCGACCAGAATCGATTCTGATCAAATATTTAGTCTCCTCCAAGGATGTGCGGGGAGCTGTCGGACGCAGGAGGAGCCGCCCCCGCCTCGCGGAGGGTGGCTGCCTTTGTTCTTGGACTTTAGGTCCTGTCGTCGCTCTCCAGGCCGCAAGGAAGCGGGGGCGAGGGAGCGGGATCCGAAACAAAGACTCCCCCACGTTGTTTGGCTGCCAGTACGTAGATGGCTTGGTTTCCTCATCCTTTCGCTCATTTTGTGCGGAACAAGAAGCCCCTGACTGGCTCTGGCACTCTGTTGCCCGATGTCATTTTGATTGCACGATGACGGTCAACATATATGTGACTTTGGAACTGCTTATGTACCCATATTAGCAATTTATTCTAAGTGCTTATGTATTCACATCATCCAATTCTTTCTTAAGACTATTAAAGCCTTTAAAATGTGTACTCTGCACATGGTGTTTTGTGAAATCTTAATCTCCTAAACAATAGATTTTATTCCTTAGCTTTGCCCACACAAATTCTGTCTTTTTCGCATACATAACCACAGTGTGCCTAGAGCTCATCCAGATGACACATTTGTTCACTTTTATGTATTCAGTTGTGCGCTGAAGGTTTTCTGTATTTTTCCTGCTGTTCGAGGGCTGCAAGGCTTAAATCAGCACCAACAAGTGACAAGGAGCAACAAAAACCCTGGCAAACTAGGTTTTTAAAAGCCAGCTCTTCTAGGTGTTTTTGTTTGTTTCAATTTACAAGGAGGGCACAGTTCTGGTGGCAGGAACTGCTCAAGCTGGAAGTTTCCAGCTTAGTGCTTATGTACTAAACAGAAAATCCAGCATCAAAAATACTTCTTAAAGGGTTTCCTCAATGCTTTTTAAATAGTTGCTTTGAAAGAGCCGATTTCTGATGTGGATTAGCAGGGTTATCTCTGCTACACTGGTTTCAGATCTGAAGCCTTCACTGTTTGTGCCAAACTACTAAAAAGGGAGGAAGAAACATCACAGAAGATGATTTCAAAAGCTTTCCCAAAGTTTCTGAAATATTTTCAAAATGATTTTTTAAAATATGCTGAAACAGGCGTCTCCAAACTATGGCCAGTGGGCCACATCCGGCCCACTTTGCCTTTTTATCTGGCCTGGGGTGCGTGCGTGCAGGAGTGTGGGTGGGTAGGAGGGCCCTCAAAACCTTCCTTTGGTCCTCGAAAATATGGAACATATGTGGCCCTCATGCTGAAAATTTTGGAGACCCCTGTCTTAAAGGAAAGAAGAATTGAGGTTATAACAATAAGAGTGAGCAGAAACCTCAGGAAAATCTGCATGTTTTCACCACTAAGCAACACTGAATGGCACGAAATGAAGAGGAGCAAATGGTCTATCTGGAGGAATTCTCAGTTAAGCATCTAGTAACTTAACTAAGCACTACATTGCAATGGTTTCCTTCTTCATCAACAGAATCAGTTCCAAAGAGATAGCATTTTGGTGAATGTGTCTCACTGGCTTCAGTTGTGCTATGGAAGCCTCACAGAACTGTTTTGTCTGCATTGTCAATTGACACCCATACAAAGCAGCCAGATTTGGAGTGTCGTGTCTTCAGTATGCTGATGACACTCAGCTCTGTTTCTCTGTTCCATTTGGTTCATAAGTAGCACTACAAGTTCTGGATTAGAGCCTGAATGCAGTGGTGAGCTGGCTGGGAGCCCATAGACTGAAACAAAATCCTGGCAAGATGGAAAGCCTAGAGGTAATTGGTTCTCATGTCCAAAATTAGGTGGATTGACTCTTCTGGGTGGAGGTGATTGGTGACAGGGATGTGCCTGTAGTCCTGTCATTGTCGTTGGGGTCCAAAGGGACTGCAGTGCCATGTGTCTTTTACTTTCAACAACTCTTTCTGGATAAGGATAGCTGAGTCTCTGCAACCCAGGCATTGATAATCTCCTGTCTTGGTCAGTATAATGAGACCTCTATAAAGTTACCCAAATCTTTTAAAAGATAGATTTTTGTACTACAGACACGCGTCTGGGGTATATCTGTAATAAGTATGGTTTATGCAGGCTTTAAGGCTACCATTATGCTTGATCCTGATCCCAGTGGCATGACCAGTGGCAGTGATTTTTTGGGCATTAAAGCCTTCCCCTCTTCATCCCAAGGCTTTCAAAGGTTTCCCCAGGTACAAAGCCTTGGAGCTGAATTGGTAAATGGATAGGAAGCTTTAAAATAAACATTAACATCCACACCTAATGACATCAGTAGCTGCTTCTCAAACTGGGAGGAAGTAACCAGTGGGGTACCACAAGG